TCCTCTTCATGCAGAACATCGACATCACCAACTTCAGCAGCAGTTGGGCCGACGGCCTGGCGTTCTGTGCCGTCTACCACACCTACCTCCCCTCACATATCCCTTACAGCACCCTCGGCCCCGAGAACAAGGTAGTGCCGGTTCCTGTGTGACTGATGGGACGAAGCGACTTGTTTGCGTTAAACTTATCGATTTTACTTCCTTCGTTGTAGAAAGAGAATCTCAGTCTCGCGTTCAAAACAGGAGAGAGCGTCGGGATTGCGCAGTCTCTGGTAAGACTTTGTTTTAACCAGCTTCCCATTTTACACACACACGAAACAGATTTTTGTTTGTCGTGCTCATAAATGTGTCGCTTTAACAGACAGTGGAGGAGATGCTGAGGGCGGGCGGTCCTGACTGGCAGCGGGTTCTGAGCTACGTGGAGAGCATGTACCGCCACTTTGAGATGTAGCTGCTGGAGGTGCTGTCGAACGGTCCCGCCACAGACGACGCTTCAGAAACACTGTCGAAGAAGCATAGTTCATCATGATTGTTCCCTGAATACTGCTTTTGCTGGGTGGAAACAGCTGTCACAAAAGCCTGTAACCAAAGGATGTAAGCACAGATGGGTGTGAGCTGTGTGCACTTGTTTCTGTTCACATGCAAAAGTCACATCTTAGCGTTTAAAGTGGATATTATCGTGACCGCCTTGTGGAAATTCCAGTTATGTGGAACCTTTTTAGCATCTTTCTATTAAAGTTTGTACACGAGTTGCTGTAAATGTCTCCACACTGGTACTTTACAGTCAGAAAGTACTGTATTAGGTCTTCCATGAAATCTATAATCTTTGGCTTTTATATGTGATGCTTTGCAAGGATTCAACATGTGTTTGGACATTTGAGCACTGTGTAAATACGCACTTTTGTCAGCACTTTGATGTCAGAATGTAATGTGCAGTAGTTTTGTAAAGGCTGTGTGGGCGTTCAGCTGCAAGGCCTCAGTCCAGGCACAGACGTGTCTGATGATTTATCTTAGATAAAGTTTCAGTTTTTCAGTAAAAGTTGGCGTTTCCTCACATAAAACACGTGTAGTCAAAATTTCAAAGTACTAACGAGAGAGCCGGTGCTGTTAAGTTGCTCAGGGATGTGCGTTAAAGCAAATACAAGCCTCCACGAGATCGCACATCCGGTTTCAACATCACCTCGCATCACACCTGCAGCCTCGCTGATGCGCATCTGGTATTTTTACGACATGTTCAAAACTGTTGACAAAGTTGTGCGTGCCAAAATGAATCAAGTGCTCCTTACTTTGTAAGATATGTTTGTATTTAACTAGTGTGAAGAATTATACCAAAGAAATAAACAGTTTATTTGGATGAAGTGGCGCCGTGAGTCTTGTTTACTAACCCCACTGTTAGAAAAGAACGGACACGAAAATCCATTTATGGGCTTTTGGCTCAAGTCTCATCTCTTCTGTTTTGAACTGGGAGGAGCTCGTGTTTGAAATCGGCTTAACCTTGGCTTTACTGCCACCTGCTGGTGAATATAAGCTTATGCATGCTTCTGTTTGCCTGCATCATGCTGCTATTCCTCAGTAAAAAAATCTAATTGCCACTTAGTGGCTACAGCACGGTCAGTGTTGCACCCATCATGTCAACTCATAATCACCGCGATGCTATTTTTACCTCATTTTCTTTGTCCAACCTGTATTTATGTCTACAAACTTCTAAACAAGCAATTATGAAGACAAAACTCATTGTGTGAAAGCGCCTGAGATCAGCGGAGAGCGAGGGTTTCAGACAACTGTCGGATCAGTCTCATCACTTCCTCCAGAGACGCAACACCCACTGCCAGCCTGTCGTCCTTTGTTGTCACGAGATAATTAAAATGTCAAGCCTGTTTATTACAAAGCTGAATTGGGCTAATATGGCTTTGTATTCAATTAGTAGCCCACAGAGTCCTGCAATGTAGCAAAATATTTCCTAAAACAATAGATTTGATTGGTGGT